TAAAGGAGCTCCAGGAGAGCTGGAGAGGGATTGGGGACAAGGCATGGAGGGACAGGACACAGGGAATGGCACGGTTGGATGGGATATCGGGAAGGAATTCCTGATATGAGGGTGGGAAGCCCTGGCACAGGGTGCCCAGAGCAGCTGTGGCTGCCCCTGGATCCCTGGAAGTGTCCAAGGCCAGGCTGGAGCAACCTGGGATAGGGAAAGGTGTCCTTGCCCTTGGCAGGGGGTGGGGCTGGATGGGTTTTAAGGTCCTTTCCTTGATTCCATGATCCCACGGCACCGCGGGGTGCACACACAGCCAGGTGCAGCCACGTTTCCATGCCACGGTCACAGTGTGAACACAAACTCTCCCAGACACATCATCCCTGCACCTGGAGCCGCTGTGGATGTCACCAAGTGCTGCTGAGGGGCTGTGGGACATCACCTGGACACATCCACCCCACCAAAAGCTTGTGGGCAAATTGGAGACCACGCAGAGAGGAAAATGAGCTGGAGGAACGGAAGGCTTGAACTATAATCAGAAATTAGCAAAGAGGAGGAGGGAAACTTCTCCCCAGACTGCCTCTGCAAGGGTTGCCAAAAAGCACCACACACATCCAAGATGTGCCAGATGTTGCTGCTGCCCAGGAATGAGGCTGCAGGTCTGTGGTGGTGGCAGGAGCAGATGGCAATGGCCGGGAGGAGTGCGAGGAAGGGTGGGAGGAGAGGAAGAGAGACCCAGCTGCCAAAATCTCTTGCCTTGGCTCTGCTCACAGGGAGGGACTTGACTCAGTTTTCTTTCAAAGAGATCTTTAAATGTTGAGTTGCCTGAATGGGATCTCCGAGTACGCACCAGGAGAGGGAATTCTGGTGTCGTGGGACTCGGTGGGAAGAAATGGGAGGAGCTGAAGCGGAATTTAAGCGTAGACTGGTGAAACTGGGGGCAGAGAGGAGCTTCCACTGGGAGGGCTCACCTGGGGTCTCACACACTGTGCTACCGAAGTGGGAAATTCCCAAAGGGATGCTCCGGACAGAAATCACGGGCTGGGATTTCACGGCCGTGTCACACACGGGGAAGACAAGCTGCTCCTTCTGGCTTTGCAATGCATCCACCTAAATCTTCCCTGAAACAAAGGAAAACCTGGACTGGCGGGGTTCTGTTGAGCCCAGCAGCCAAACCTGGGAATCGACATCTCCATCCATCCACTCCAGCTGTGCCCAGGTGTTGGGAGGGGCTCGGACAGCACAGGGAAAAGGCTGGGCTTGGCAAAACCCCGGTGATGAGCCAGGCTTTGCCACAAAATCCCAAAGCTGGGCTCTGCTCCTGTCAGCAGCAGCCTGGGCTCTGGCATCTGGGAGCAGCTGGATTCCTGCCTCGTGCCTCTGGAGCACCAGGATCCCGACACGGCAGAGGGAGGAGCTGCCAGCTCATCCAGGGTCACCCAGAGCGAGCAGCCACCTCCGAAAAATGCAAATTGCAATTTTCTATTTCATTCCCCACCTACGGCGGAGTTTCTTCCCTGGAACTGTGAGGATAAAGTCATGAACATCTGGGAAGTGCAGATCCTACGGCACATGGAGAGTGTTGGGAATGCTCATGAGGTGGTTGTTAATTCCATACTCCGAGCAGGGTTGTAACTGCATGCATTAAAAATGGCATGGGGTCCTCACTTTAAATAACAGCCATAAAAACAGATTTTGGAGGTGGAAAAACATGAATCAGAAATGCCTCATCCAATAAATCACAATCTCAGATACGTTTGCACCACGCAAGGACAGAGGGAACGCAGCTCCGTGTAACAATTCCTAAATTGCTCGTATTTGGTCCTGAAATCCTGTTAAATTCCCTCGATGGCTGATGGGGAGTGACTGGCACTGTCCCCATTATGGCAGGGCAGAGCCTCCACGGAGCACCAGCATTCCCAGGCTCCTTCCAGCCAAAGCAAATCTGGGATCTGGGGGGAACAGATGTCTTTGGGAAAAGCACCGGGTGGCCAAGTGGGAGACTGAGCTTCGTTCCCATCTCAGCGTGCCCCACCGAGGTGGGGAACGGCGCAGGGGAACGCTGGGGAGGAAACAGTGGGCAGAGAGGGAAAACAGCAGGGATGACAAACCCCGGGATGACTGAGGAGCTGCCACGTCAGTGCCAAGCTCCTGGAGAAGTCTTCACCAGAACCAGCGTAATTCCTCCTGCAAAGGGCCTGGCTCAGCCCCTGCAATACAGCATTTCACTGCAGTCTGCACAGCAGAAAGGGTCCAAAAAAGGAGGACACTGAGATGTGTGTTAATCAAGTGAAGAACCATCTACAAAGAAAAGGCATGGATCTGTCTTCCAGTTGAAAAGCTATAAATAGCCTTGCATACTTGCTTATCAGATTGGTTCGGCTGCAGGGATAATCTCCTGGAGAAAGCAATGGAAGCCCTGTTATGTTGGATATTTATAACCAGATGAAAGCTGAGAAAATGCACAGTGGTGTCAGCCCGGCGCTTGTGCCGCGGGATGGGGGTGCGGGATCCAGCCCGTCTCCACAGTTTAACGGGAGGTCAAGAACAGCTTAGTCTGCCCCAAAAACCCCAGATCTGATCTCTCTGAGGGGCTGGTGCTGCTGATGAAGCCAAGGCAAGGACGTGGTGGGACAGTCCCCAAAAGGTCACGACGGTCTCACATCACTGGAGAGTCTTTGCAGGGAATAAGTCAAGAGATGGATTTGTCTCTGGACAAACAAAGGCTGGTTGGAAGCACAGATGTGGATGTGCCACAGCTCGGGCAGGGCACGGAGCAAACACAACTCTGGTGAGCTGCTCTAACAGCCCCAGTGCCTCCTAATCCCCAAATCATCTGTCCCAGGGCCAGGGTCCCCTCACAGATCCCCTTAGAGGATCACAACCTGAGCCCAGCTTCCCAGGTCCCCTCTGGGCTGCCGTGCCAGATTATCTGCAGAGCACCAGGATCAGCTCGGGATAATGCTGGTGGATTCCCAAGAGCTGCCACGGCCTCTGCAGCCAGTACAGGTCAGGACAGATGCTGGAGCTGCTGGAGCCTGATTCCCAGCCCCTGCCATGGGAAGGGAGCCAAGACAGGATGTTCTGGGGGATGGAGAGAGGAGCAGGGTTGTGGTTATTCCCTGGGATCCTCACACATGGATCTGGTGGTGGATGGGTGTGGGTGATTCCTGCTCTCCTGTGGGGTGAGCTGGTTTATAGGTTTATAGGGCAGGTTTGGGAGCCATTCCTGGGGGCTCCAGGCTGTGTCCCTTGGCCTTCCTCAGCTCTGCTCATCCCTGTCGGGCACACAATGAATACTCCAAGGAATATCCCACGACAACCCTCCCTGCCTTCCAGGTGCTCCTCTCTCTCTCCCTTCTTTCTACTTTTAGCCCTGCTCCTCCCTCATCATCTCCAAGTTTCCTGTCACATTCCAGGGCTCAACATTTCCTCTTCCAGGTCCATCACCCTCACTACCTCTATCAGGTCATCCATGGAGCATCTCTTCACCCACCACCCTTCCAGCCTCTCTTCCAAGTACTCAGGGATTGTTCCCGTGTGCCAAGGCTCCAGGAACTGCTCCAAACTGCTCTTCCCAGGTGACTGACTGGCACTTCTGGGGACGAAGTGATCTGCACAACATTCGTGGGCAGGAAGGTGCAAAAGATGGATTTAGAAACCCCACCACGCCTTGCTCCAACGGTTGTAACATAGAGAACTCCAACGTTCCTCCAGGAATAACCTGGGGATCGGGAAGAGATGTTCCACTAGACCTGTCCAGCTCCACAACAGAGGGAGCCAGCCGGTTTGCAGCTCCCTAAAATCTGGCTGAACACTCGCTCAGCCATCTTCCTACCACACACACACACACACCTGTCCCAAAGTCAAGGATGCTCCCAGAAACAGGAGGAGACTTCAGGAGAGCCCTCTGCCACCTCCTCCTCTTCCCTTCCAGAAAATCCTTCCACCCTGCCACCTCCACAGCCACCTCCCCTGGGGACACGAGCACAGAAGGCAGCAGGTACAGGAGAGAAGATGTTATGTGCACAGCCAGAGCCAAATCCAAGGAAGCAACGGGAGCTGGCCGGAGAACACAGCTTGGGGTGGGTGGGCTGCAGCCAGGCGAGGCAGCACGGGGGCAGCACGAGCAGCACGACGGCGGGTGAAGCTGCATCGGGGCAGGGGGAAGCAGCTGTGACCCCACAGCCACCTCCAGGGGTTCTCAGGGAAAGCTGGACCCCACCGGGAGGTGACCTGAGGGGCACGGTGAAGGGACACGTCGCTCTGGGGTTTGCCACCACCACCACCACGCACGATGAGACTCCACTCACGGATCTCTTCAGCCCAGCCTGTGCCACTAAACCTGCTCTGCCCTCTGGAAAATCCCATAGCTCCCACCCCAAACACTCATGGGGAGCTCCAGCACACCCCAACCCAACCCCCCGAGGTGGGACAGGCACCCCTGGGACCCCTGACTGCGGGACACGAGCTCCCCATGGGCTGGGATACAGCCCCTCTGCTCGCCCCTGTGCTGCCATCTCGGACCACCCTGCTGTGCCCTCTCTCTGCATTGTTCCAAATCTACCTGGCCCCTGCCACACCCACCTGTCCTCTGCCTCACCCATCTCCTGCCACACCCACCTGGCCCCTGCCACACCCACCTGGCCCCTGCCACACCCACCTGGCCCCTGACACACCCATCTGTCCCCTGCTACACTCACCTGTCCTCTGCCCCACTCATCCCCTGCCACACCCACCTGTGCTCTGTCACACCCACCTGTCTCCTTGACTCCTCCCACCCCACAGGTGGCTCAGACCTCCCCTCCCTCCCCCACCTCTCCCCTCCCCACCACTCCTTGCCGCTCTCTCGCTTTGAGCCTCGCCTCTTCCCATTCCTCCCATCCCCACCACGCCGAGCGTGTCCCAGCCGAGCTCCACGCCCCCCACACCGGGAACACGGACCATGGAGGACCAGGAGCCTCGGGGACAGGTGCCAGGGGAGGGCACAGACGCGGGGGGCGGGCACGTACCGTTCTCGGGGTGCTCCATCTCCCCGATGCTGCCATCGGGCGTGGTGCGCTCGTAGTGGTCCTCGGGCAGGGCCAGGGGCCCGATGCGGGGCCCTGATGAAGATTTGCTGCTGGGGGTCTCGGATTCCTCCAGCCCGCTGTCGTAGTAGCTGTGCTGGGAGGGGTCCTGCAGGTCCTGAGCCTGGCTGGCTGCAGAGAACGTCACTCGGCGATGAGGTAACTGCAGACAAGAGAGGAGATGTCGCATCACCCACCCGGCAGGTGAAGGCAAGGGTGGGCTCACCCAACCTCATCCTCAGCCCCCAGAGCCCTCCTGACAGACTCAGCACCAGGCTCCATCCCCATCACGTCGAGCTTTGCACGCTCCCTGTGCTCCCCCAGCCCATCGCTCCCTCCTCGGCTCTGTCCCAGCCTCCTCTGTGGCCCAGATGTCCCCTCCCACGGCAGGACGGCTCCGGACAGGTCCCCCCATCAGCACAGCCTCCCCAATCATTGTCCCCGCTCAGCAGGCTCCCGACACAACCCCAGAGCCTCGCGTGGCCAAGGCCACTCCAAAACCTCTCTGATGGCCAGCACAGAGGCACGGCCACATCCTCCCTCCCCTACCGGCCCCTGGCCTCAGCCCCGCTCCCATCCTCAGGATTCTCCACCCACGGTCACCCCCAGCACTGCTTTTGTGTGCTCCTTAAGCGTTTCGAAGACCCAGCTTCACACTTTCCCTCCCCAGCTCGCCCTCGTGCTCCCTGCCAGCGGCCACTAAGCCACATCATTATCCCGCTCCAAATCCTTCCACCAAATCCTCCTTTGGTGTGATTACCGAGGAGCGCAGAGGGCAGCACGAGTTCAAGGGGCAAGAGCGGGGAAGAAAAAGCCACCACGAAACCACCACGAAACCACCAGAAACGCAGGAAGAAACCCAAGACAGGAATTATCTGATGGGGATCCGAAGGTGATGAGGTGAGAGAGGAGCCAACACACCCTTTAGGCTGAATACCTTTTTTTTTTTTGTGCTGGTGTCTTTACTACAAATCAGTGGCAATCAGGCGTCCCACACACAGCGAGCACCGGCCAGGAAGGGGAAGGAATTGAGACGAACAGAGGGAAGGAACACAGAGGGAGCATTTAGATGAGCTGCTTTAAGGTTGGTTGGACCTGATTAAATTCACCACAGATGCTTAGAGACCTGATTTAAGTAACTTCAGAGCTGTTAGGGCTGCTTTTTTTTTTTTTTTCCCCAAAGATTTTTTTTTTTTTTGCTTTTTTTCCTGAAGAATTTGTAGAGAATCAGGGAGCTTCCAGAAGACTGGAAGAGAGCTAAAATAGCGCCTGTCTTTAATGATGGGAAAAAAGAAGAGCTGGAGAATTATAAAACAGTTAGCTTAATTTCAGTTCCTGGAAAAATACTGAAGCAGATAAAAGAACTCTTTGTAAGTACCTACAAGATAACAAGGAAATGAGTAACAGCCACTGTAGGTTTGTCACAAACAAACATGTCAAGCCATTGAACTCCTTCCTTTGAAAAGACAGCAGGCCTCGTGGAGGGAGGAGGAGCAGTAAATGCTCTAGCTCGACTTGAGGAAGTTTTTTTTTTTTTTTTTTTTTTTGACACTGTTTTAGCTGATTTTCTCATAAGTAATGCAAGCAAACAGCGGAGGTGCAGCATCGTGCATCCCTGCCTGGGTGATGTGGGTGCAAATCATTTGGAAAGTGTTATTCCCAAAGGAATTCCTGCAGACAGCGTTTTCAGCTGGGATCGTGGATCAAATTAAAGCTCCAGCTTGTGTCCCGAGTCCATTGCTGGGCTGGGCTTTCATTAACTGCTGCTGTGACAGATGTGGGATGGACCTGGAGGATCCCTGCGCGTCACGGGCTGGGGATCCACCCACGGTGCCAACCTCCCACCCAAAAATGATCAGTGTTGGGATGTGGGAACGGGCTGGGGTGTGCCAGCTCTGCTGGGTGCCAGGAGGCTGAGCTGGGCACCGGTTTTGAGGAGAAGTGCCCCACTTCAGCAGAGAAGAACAGACAAGCGGTCCTTAGAAACCATGACAAAATATTAAAAAAAAAAAAATAAGAAAAATAAAAGAGAGAGAGAGAAACTGGTTCAGGGAAGAGAAGGTTAAGGGTGGCAAAGGCTGGAAAGAAAAAGCCTCTGCTTGGGACCACTGGAAGACAAGAAGGAGTGACCTTGACCTGCAGCACAGAAGTCCAGCTTAATCACTGTGGCAAAAAAAACCCCACAGTGGTAGATTTGGCCAAGTGCAATCAGAGAATTATGGCATAGTTTGAGCTGGAAGGATCTTAAAGCTCATCCAGTCCCACCCTGCCATGGGCAGGGACACCTTCCACTAGCCCAGGTGGCTCCAAGCCCTGTCCTTGGGCACTGCCAGGATGGGGCACAGGCACCCTGTGCCAGTGGGGTGCCAGAGCAGAGGATGCCACCCCTGTCATTCAGGAACAGGTGAACTCCTCTGGGGAGGGCTCTGGAGGAGCTGAGGACAAGGCAGCGCTGCCCAGGTGCCTCTGGAGCCCCCTCCCAGCCCCCAGGGATTGTGCAAACCCCCTGCCCCCTGCCCACCCAGATTAAACCAATTTCCTGCCTTGCCGCAGCCCACCCCGAGCTCCCGCTTTCCTTCCGTGCTTGCACCAGCCCAGCCAGACGAGCCAGGCTGTGATAACACGAATAAACAACCTCCCAAATCCTGTGACAGCCGCGGGGTTGTGTCCGAACAGCAGCGCTTTTACCTGAAAAACACCTCCTTTAAATGTCACCTCCTCGAAAGGGCTCCTCTCACTGCAGGGCTCCCAAGCCCTGTCCCCTGCAGCCCCACAGGGCACGGGGAGTGCCCCCCTCCCTCTGTGCCCTGGGAAGCTCTCCACCTGCACAGCCCCGCTCTGGAGTCATGGAAAGGCACGGAATCAATTTGTCCTGACTCGCAGAAATTGGGTTCGGTGTGACCTTTCTGGGGGAGGCTGAAGAGCCTTTGAGCAGGCAGCGGCCTCTGCACAAGGAGCTGCTTGTGCACTGCAATCAGAGCACCAGAGCCTTCTGTTTGAGGAGTCAAACGCAGCAGGTCCAAGTCACAACCTGCAAACAGCGAATTTTTTTCGGGGCTCTCGTCTTTGCTTGCCCCAGTTTTTTCCCGTTCCTCATCAGAGGTGACCTTTGCAGGTGCCATCTCACCAGGGCTTCCTCCCGCACCTTCCTGCCCCTCCAACCTCGCAGGTTTCTCCACCTGAGGTCTGTGCCAGCCTCTTAACCCTGAGCTACTCATGCAGCGTGACCCTTGAATCCATTTTCAGGTCGGCACTTCCCAGGATTATCAGCCGGCTCTTTCTGTTTCTCCACGCTGCATTTAAAATGCACTTTGTTTAAATGGTTTACCAAGCGATCTGGATTGCTCTGCATGACTGCTCCGTCCCCAGCACCGTCTCCCACTCCACCAATCTCCGTGGCAGCCGCAGGTTTGTCAGCAGTGATTTCAGATTTCCTTCCAGACCATTGATTGCGGCGGGGAATGGCAGCGGGCACGGCAGCTCCAGGAGAACCTCGCTCCACCAGGAATCCCAGCCAAGCTTCTCTGGATAAACCAGATCTGCCTCGCAGTGCCGTGCTGGGAATCCCAGAATCCCAGAATCCCAGAATCCCAGAATCCCAGGTTGGAAAAGCCCTCCAAGGTCACCGAGTCCAAGCTGTGCCTGATCCCCAGCCCAGAGCACCGAGTGCCACATCCAGGTGTTCCTTGGACACCTCCAAAACCTCCCTGGGCACCTCTTCCCAAGGCCTGACCGCCTTTTCCATGGAGAAATTCCAACCTCAGAGCAGCGTCCATGCAAAATAATAAAAATCATAATCATGATAAAATCCCCATTAGCAACTGGGCTCATCCATCTGTCCCTGTACCCAACACAAACCAGCTCTGCCTCTCCAGCCCTGCCTGGGGCAGCCCTTGTTCCTCACAAAGACCAGGACCATGCCTAAGGAAAGGTTTAAAAGCCAGGCCTGTCACGTCACGCCAGTGCCCAGTGTCCCCTGCCATCAGCCACGGTGACTGACGTCAGTGCTATTTCCATCAGCCATTCCCTGCTCCAGCCATTAATCCAGTTGTTCCCTGGGGCTGCCCAGGACACTGAGCACTGCACAGCCCCAGCCAGCTCATCCAGCTGCTCGTGGCATCCCTGCCCTGCCAGTCCTGCCTATCCCAGGCTCCTCAGCTCCATGGGGAGCAGAGAGATCCCACCCTTTGGTTAATTATTCCGTTCAATTATGTCAAATATCTCTATTTGGAACGCCTTTGTTGGTTCCCAACACATGGGCAGATCCCACATCCCACGCTGTTATGTCTCAGCCCAAATTGCTCCAACTATTTAGTCAATACTTTTGCATTTTTCTCCATAATTAACAATTTTGCAATCTCCACTTGGAATTGACAGATCCTGAATTCCACCTCTTCCCGGCACATTTTTTAAAGTACTTATTGTGTTGACTTTGTAATAATTGATTTTCCCCCAATGTCTTTGGCTTTGCTTGTTAATTTCCTACACTCCAGAACGACTCATTTCTCCTAATTGCTGTAACTCCCTCCTTTTACCCCCAGTATTTATTGGTTTCCTACTTCCAACTGCTGCCACTGTGCTGGCATGGGATTTGGGGCAGAGCTGTTTTCTCAGCTCAGAAATTGTGGCTTTGGGTGAACAAAAAAAAAAAAGCATTTTCAGGGCTCCCCAGTGATATTCATGAGGGGGATACCTGTGTCACATATAAGGGACAGACAGAGCCCGTGTCCCCCACCCCACAGGGATGCTCTGATGTTCATCCCCAGGAAAATCCTGCAGGTTCCATGCTGCTGCAGATCAGGGATTTTTCCCGAGGAGGAATCACTGGCAGCTCTTCCCCCATCCTCTGTGAAGGGCTCTCCTGCTTTTTGGAGTCTGTGCCTGCTCTGGCCTCTGTGGACTCTGGCAGCAATGAACTCCCGGCCCATGTGCTTGCTGGAAAAGCTCTTCCCTTTGCTCCTGCCTCTGCTGCCTGCTCACTTTGCCTTGAACTTCTCCTACCCTGCAGGGTTGTGAGGGAACAGCAGTAATTGCTGCTCGCTCTGCCCCTTTCCAGTTCCACAAATTCAGGATTGCATCCTGCTCTGCCAGGTCCTCCTGCAGACACCAGGCAGGTCTGGCCAGCTCTGCTGCCTTTCCCTGTGCTCCATCCATCCCTTCTGC